AGTAGTCATTTGAAAAAATTACATTTAACTTTATTTCTCATAACCACCATCCCTATGAATGGGATGTGTGCATCTGTCCCATGTGACCTTTCAAATATGGGAATCAGACTGGATGCAATCACCCCTGATTCTAGGTTGAGTGATTTTTTTGGTGGTGTGTTCCTTTTATTATAGCAATTACTAGAAATCCAGTCTCAGAAGATAGGGGCTCATCGAAAGGAACGTGGTGCCCTCTGATTTTGAAAACGTGAAGGACCTGGAGCTAGTTTCCAAGGGGTCTAATAGATAGTGTCACTGTGTCTCCTCAGAGAAATCAGATGTGACCTTGCCGCATGTTCTGGGGTGTCTTGGGGCATATGCTGAGAACAGTGGCATTAGGATCACAAGGACTTTCTTCTTCTTGCCTTGGTTCTAATCTTTACCTGACATTTTTTTTGCCTTAAAGATGAAAGAAGCATATGTTTTGATGTGTTTAAAGCATATACTCAATGGCACGCTTATTCTTTTGAGAGAAACACAGATTAACTCCTGCACTGTGATTTTTATTTTCATTGCAACAAATTTTCTTAAATATGATAATGTATGAAATACAGTCAGTTTCTGTATGCAGAAAGATGCAGCCAATTGCATCTTTCCTGAACATGTACAGGTTTTTTATCTTTCCTGAACATGTATAAGTTTTTTTCCTTCTTATCATTCCCTAAACAATACAGACTTAACAACTATTTACATAGCATTATACATTGTATTACAAACGTTACAAATAATCTTGACATGGTTTACAGTATGTACATAGGTTATGTGCAAATACCATGCCCTTTTCTAGAAAGAACTTGAGTATCTGCAGATTTTGCTCTCTGCCGAGGGTCCTGGTGCCAGTCTCCTACAGTCCCAAAGGTCAGCTGAACTTAGTGCCTTACTCTTTTTGATAAACACTCTGTAATGGGTAACAGTTACTGAAACTTCTCTACACTGTGTTGTTTTTCTCTCCTTCCTCCTAGAAAGCAGTATTTGGAAGTAGTGAGTAAATATTATCTGTAAACCTCCAGGGATGATGGGCTCCAAGGAAGTAACGCTTACGAAGTTGTTTGCTTGACAAGTAGTTTATAAAGACTCAGGATGGATCATTTATTATCTTGGGATGAAATCCTGGCAGCTCTAGATTCATCATGCTATAGTAAATGTTGGCTAGAATTGATGGGCCATTTGTTGTGTTAAAAACCAGTAGTGACAAATATTTATTAGTTAAGCAGAAAGATCCATCTCTATAAATTGCTGTGACTCATCTTTCTCCTGATCCAAGTTAATTAGAATTTTTCTCTTTAAAAGTGAAATTCCATAGTGTAAATCATTCTGTTTTTTTTTTCTTTGTGAGAACTGTTTGGAATAGTCTAGGTTCTTTACCTTCTACCAATTGCTACAAAAACTCGTGCTGGGATTTCCTGTGGGGAGTATGTTTGGATGTACAGATCCATTTGGGCTTAACAGTGGGTAGTGTTCGTGCCCTAAGTACGGTGTCTCTGCCTGTACTTTCATCTTCTCTTTTTGACAGAGTTTTAGAACTTTCAATTTACAGATATTGCACATATGTTTTAAAAACTTCTCTAAATAATATTTTTGATGCTATTATAATTGGTATTTTCACATTTTTTATTCCGATCATTATCATTTATTGCCAAACACATAGATATCCAACTAGTTGTGAATATTGATGTTTTCCTGTGACATTGATAAACTCACTGATTCTAGTCCTATATTTGTAGATTCCTAAGAATTTTCCAGAACTGTCATGCCATCTGAAAATAAAGGCAGTGTTCTGTTCTCCTTTCCTACCTCCATGACTTTCTCTTAGCTTATTATGTGGGCCTAATCCAAACAGCAGCCAATGCCCACTTTCTGCTCAGTGTGTTAATGGAGCAGTTATGAGGACCAGGCTTTGACTTTGCCAGGACTTCCATCCTCCTGACTTCACATCACTTCTAGCCTAAGGGAACAATGCAGGGAGGGTGCAGGTCCAAGCTTCTGGTTGGTTCCTTCAGGATTGAGCACGCAGCTGGGCTGCAGTTTGGGCTACATTATCTGCTGACCCAACCAGCATCCCATCTCCCTTCTGCAGTGGCAGGTGTGACCTCGTGAGCACAAGTTAAGGCCAGAAAAATGGGCCAGTCTCACTGTCTCCCCTTAATCAGGTCTCTGCAGGGGTGGCCATGATGTCAGTGCTATGAGGAGGCTCCAGGACCCATGTGAGTTTGCCAAGGCAGTGTATCCACCTCTCCCTCTCCTCTGCTGTCCCCTGACATCTGAGATGCTCACACCTGCCCAGAGCCACCTGTGAGCGACACCTTTGCCAGTCCTTTTGCTTCTCTTCTTAAACTCACGCCACTGCCCGGTCCAGTGCTTCCCATGCAGTAGGCTATAAATGCAGTGTACCAAACAGCGAAGTAGGTGCTGTTACCGTTGCAGTGTCTGGACAAGGGGCTATGCTTGGAGAGCTTAGTGTTGTAGCTGAGACCACACAGCTAGAAGGCACCATGCCCAGTGCCAGCTCTGCTATGTCTGAGGGCAGAGCCCATGATGAGCTTTCTTCCCTTGCTGAACAGCCTGGACACCGCAGCCTCCATTCCTCTACTCAGACAGTGGGTCTTGGCAGAGCCACCCGGCCTCATGTACAGGATGTCTCCACCTGGGTTGACCCCACTGCAAAGAGGACAGTGGACCAGCAGTTGCGATCAGAGTAAACAGGGCCAGCCAGGGTGTGTATGACCTGAAGGCAGCAGCAGCTCGCTCTAGGTCAGGAGACAGAGTAGAACAGAAACGGAACACCAGAGCAGGCTGCCTTTAGAGACAGGCATAATCCTCATTCTGAAATTGCACTTGGAGAAGCGAAACATTTCTTCTTTGTATTGACATTGTGTCCCTCTTCGAACACTTTGTTGATGTTCCTTGTTTTTAGTATTTCTGCTTTATTTTAGTTTCCCTATGGACACTGGTCCACCAAGTGATGGAAATTGAGGTCACTTGTCACCTTTCCATCTGAGCCAAGACTTGACCTCAGGGCCTTGAGTTTGCTAAGCAGATGCTCTACCTTTTTGACTTAGTTATTTTTCAGGTCGGGTCTTGTGTTTTTGCTGTAGGCCTTGGACTGCAAAATCCTTCTCTTCTGTAGCTGGGATGACAAGCAAGGCCACCACACCTGGCTTAATATTTGAGATAAGGGGTCCCATTAACTTCACCCTCCCCCCTCCCCCCCCATTATCTTTTTAATCTCTGCCTCCTCAGTAGCCACAATTACAGGTGTGAACCACTGCTCCTGGCCCGAGTCTTGTCACTTGGGGTTTTCATCACCCTTTGTCTTCTCACTGCTCCTCTGTTCTATGTGCTCATCTGCAGAATTCAGAGAGCCCTATACCCTACCTGTTCTTTTTCTTGCTGCAGTTTGTCAGGGTGAGAGCAAATGACAGGGATTAGACAGTAGAGTGTTAGAGCCAGAGCAGATTCTATAGCTCGTTCTAGAGACAGTGGCCCCATTTTACAGGAGAGAAATGAAGCTACCCCATGAACTGAGGATGTGCCCAGACCAGATGCTCTTTGTGGCTCTCCTGGTCAACAGTCCCTGGAACCACTTTATCTCCTGTGTGAGAAAGTAACCGCTTCTCATTTGACCAGGAAAAACCCGTGTTTGTGTTTGCCCTCATGTGAGCAAATTCCCCACACCTGATTTGGGAAGTCAGAAGAAGGAGTTAATGATCCTTAGTGGCAAGACGCTAGTAGTGTGCCCCTGGTGAGAGCCTCAGGAGTACCACGTGCTGTCTGGGGTTGCCTTGCTGGAGTTAAACCTCCTCTCGGTCCATGCCCAGGAAGCTGGTCCCAGGAAGCTCAGTTGCCAGTTTGTTTCCAGCTGGCTCTGGGTGATGTCCACCAGGCTCTGTTTGGAAGGAACGTTCCTGCCCCCCCACTCTTATTTCCATCTCTGTTGGAGTGCTCAGGGAGACACCAATTAATCACAACTACCTGAAACCCAGGAGGGTGGCAGGTAGGGACCGGGCCAGTACTGAAGTGGAAAGGCTGTGGGTTTGGTGAACCATGAGTCAGGTTTTCCTGTTGTTTCTACTGTCTGTTAAGAACTCTCAATATCCGTAGAGAAATCGCTCGAAGTCTGTGAGTGTCAGTTTCCCCAAACATAATATGGTAACATACCTGATTTTCCTATTCTGCAAGAAGGTAGACAAATTAAAATGAGGCAGCATGTGGAAGGGGTTTTGAAAACAGAAAAAATAAAATGATGCTATCATGAATTTATCAAATTAGTTTATTTTCCCTAGAAATTGCAGATCTTTTTCTGAACCTGAGCTCATCATGCTATGCGAAAAGAGATCAGGTTCCAACCCTGCAGTGAAGCAGTTTAGAGTGGGGAGTCAGGCCAGAGGGGGCTTTCGTTCACAGAGCCTTGCTCACTGCTGGCAGGGGAAGCTTGGGAGAAGCAAGATGGTCCCTGATGTCCTAGTGTCCAGTAGTGTCAAGGTGGGTTACTGCAGTCCCTGGACACACAGCAGATAAATCCACAGGTGCTCTGCTGCTGCCAGGGGACCCTGGGGAGGTGCAGCTGTGGTGGGTCACAAGAGGGCTTGGAAATGTCCCAGTTCTTACTCACAGCCTAGAGCCAGGGCCATGGCAGTTTTCCTCCTACTAAGGGAGATGTGTGTGTGTGTACATGAGTGTGTATGTGTGTATGTGAGTGAATGTGTTCATGCCCATGTGAGTGTATGCACATGTGGAAGTGTGTGTAGTGTTTGAGTTTGTGTATGAGTGTGTGTGCATGTGTGTTTGTGTATGTTATGTATCTGAGTGAGTATGCATGGCCAAGTGTTTGTGTGTGCATGTGTGAGTGTGTATGTTTGTGCTGTGATACATTTTGGCTCCCTCTGATCATATTTGTCTTCAGGGGGCCACAGCACGAAGCCCGGTATCACTGACTGCCTTGTCTTTGCTTTTGCTCTTAGGGCAGGAAGATCCCAACAGTTTACGCCATAAATATAACTTTATTGCTGACGTGGTGGAGAAGATCGCTCCTGCCGTGGTTCACATCGAGTTGTTTCGAAAGTAAAGAACTTTCTAATTTTTTTTCTGTAACTTCTGAAGCTTTTGCTAATAAATGCAAAACATCAGAGCTATTTTTGAGACATATTAAAATGTCAAAACGTCACTGAATAGATCCCCACATTATGACAAATATTTCTCCCGTAGGACGTTTTTGCATCTGACTATTTAAACCTACATTCTTGGCCCTTCAGATGTTTTAAGAATCTTTGGCTCTGAAGAGATTTCCTAAGAATGTTTCCTAAATGGAATTTTTTGATGTGTTGCAAAAATTGACTTAACATTGGTTTTAAAATGTTAAAGGCAGCACGTCGCCCTTGCAGAACCAGTACTCACTGGGTTGAAGTGTTCATTTTTAGGTGGTTCAGGCTTAACTGCTCTCTTGGGTTCCAGGCTTCCTTTTTCTAAGAGGGAGGTGCCCGTGGCTAGTGGGTCCGGGTTTATCGTGTCAGAAGATGGATTGATTGTGACAAATGCTCATGTGGTGACCAACAAGCACCGTGTCAAGGTTGAACTGAAGAACGGAGCCACCTATGAAGCCAAAATCAAGGATGTGGATGAAAAGGCAGACATTGCACTTATCAAAATTGACCACCAGGTGAGCCAGCTTCTGGTGCTGTGCACGTTTGCCCTCATCTGCAGAGCAGAACTCTCATATGCCCTGGTCAGGCTTTTGGGTCTACCCAGAGGCAGCAGAGCTCTCTGGTCTCCTGGGGTCTTCAGGGAGAGTGTTGAAGCCCTGGACCAGCAAATCTTCACCACAGAGGGGCCTAAGGAGTATGGCTTGGATGAGGGAGAGGAAGGGGCTCAGGGTAGGTTCTGGAAGAAGCTGGGTATCAGATCAGAAAGTTTTAAAATAGCGTTTTAACTGTTTATAAAATAAAGCAATAGGTTTGTAAAGAAATTAGTAGGTAAGTGGTAGAAATTGGGCCCTGCTCCCATACCTGTTTCTGAGTCATTTGTTACAATCTTTGTTCATCTCCTCAGAAATGTTGTGGGTTCAAAATGTATATGGAATGTGCTGGGATTTAGAATGAGCTATCCAACTCGGTCTCCCAAATTGGTGGTGTATTTCAGGTGACTATATGTGTTTTCAAACAACCTTTTATACTTAAACAAGTTTTGGAAACCTTGAATTAAAGTCAATGGATTTCTTCTTTATAGCACTTCTCAGAGTGTGATACGTTAATATGCACATAACTTAACCTCCAAAAGAGGGTATACTGCAATATTTGCCCAAATTATAATTCTCCAAATATACAACTTTTTTGCGGGGGGAAGGTGAGGTACAAAACTAAGTCACAGTGAGTTCAGTTTGGGAAATGTTACATTTAAAAATGCTTTCAGGGTTGGTGGGATTGCTCAGTGGTAGATAGAGCACTTGCCTAGTTTGGATAACACCCTGGGTTTCATCTCCAGCACTGTAAAACAACAACAAAAGTAAAGAAAGAAAAAGAAAATGCTTTCTGTTTGAGTATTCTCCTTGCAGTCATTTTTGCTCTGTTAATTTGTTCAGCAAAGTCTTTGTGCCTGAAACTAAATCCAGTTCTTACTGGACCATCAGCAGAAATTTACACTTATCATTCTGGTTGCAGAGGTTTAGTTTGCTGTGTGGATGTGCAGTGACATTGCACTCTGTGGTTTCTTCACCACCTTACGATTTTCTAGACTTCAGATGGAAGGAAGAATCAGGGTCAGCTGCAGTCCTGATGCTGGCCCAGGAAAAGACCCTAGACTGGCAGCCAGGAGGTCTTCTTGTCCAGCTCTCTTGCTTGCTTCACTTCTCCTGGGTAGCAGCTAGGAAGTCAGATGGCTGTGGCATCTCTCGCTGTCTGTCTGTCTATTCTCCAGGCTGTTTGACTGTTGGATGGGAACAGCTCTGTTTATGGTTTGGACAGTAAGATCCTGGATTCTAGGTTCTTTTTTTTTTCTTCTTTTTAAACAGCACCAAGCTGATGTTCAATCCCAGGCTCCTTCACAGCCAGCCTTTCAGAAAACCACAGGCTGAAACATTTACACATACCCCCTACATGTTCCCTTACTGTGTGTGAAGCTATGTGGCCAGGTACAAGCTGAAGAGGCTCCTCGTAAATATAGGCTCTTTGCCTATGTGGTAATTGGCCTTAGTGAGATCACAAACGTGTGTTATTTCTGTTAGGTTACTGTGGAATTTCTAGCAACAGCTCATCTTTTAAAATGTGTTTAATGATCAGCAATCTGCAAGATAGCTGGATTATCCCCCATTTTACAGAGGAAAAAAACAAGGCTCAGAGAACTTAAGTAACCTGTCTGAGGCCACACAGCTATACCTAATACCCCTAGTCCTAAGACAGACTTCAGTTCTCCAGGTGTCCAAATCCGTGGTCATTACACAGGGACAGAGCCTGGCCTTTGCATGCGATAGGACAGGCTAACCTTAAATAGCCCATGGAAAGGCTGGCTCATCTTCATTTAGTGACACTGCTAGAAAGGTGTCGAGGATGTGGAAGTCACACCGGAAGAAGGCTGGCCAGAATAGCACAGCCCATGGCCACATGTGGGACTTTCAGCCTCCACTGAGTCCTTGGAAGGCAGCCAGCCTGGGGCCCACGGCCATCTGTAAGCCAGGCACTGGCCCTGCGGTGCGTGCACTGTCTCCACGGAGTAATTTTGTATTTGGAATGTGTGGGTGCACACCGTGCATCTGCTTCTGGCCCAGGGATATTCTTTTCAGATTATGAACCAAAGTGCAGCCTCGTGTTACCCCTGGCATGTCCAGGCAAGAAGCGGAAGGTCTTAAAAGACGAGCTGTGCGGAGGGTTTGGACTTGCTAGACTCACTGCTCTTCAGCCAGCAACAGGCTGTTTGACGTGTTGCATGCCCAACAAAAGGGTGCCTCAAAATTCAAATTTGAACTGATGTGGCTTTTCAAAATGGAAACGGAAATGAAAGGATATTAAATTTCAGTAGACACCCACACAAAGGCCTGGTTTCCACTGACTAAACTGTCTTTTTTCTGCTGATAGCTGGAAGCAGGGAGAGAAAGCCTCTCTCCAGCTGTTTCTATTTTGTCCCGTGTTTTTTTTTTTTTTTTTTTTTTTAAATGAGAGTTATTTAGGGAGAAGAGTCTTTCCTGTAATGAGGCTCAATTTGGAAGAAGCCAGCTTCCAGGAAAATGAATTCTAGCTCAGATCTGCCCCTCACCCTGTGTGACAGGCTGTGGGGTGTAGCTTGCCTGGCGTTGACATCTTACGGACAATGGCAACAACAGAAAGATCAGGGAAACTCAGAGAAGGCAGAATAGGACTGCAAAAGTTGGTTTCCAGGAAGGAAAACCATTCCCAGAGGCACCTTGTAGTGAGAGACTATGACCCCAACCTCCCCAGGGCCATTTAAGAAAACCCGGGTGAAGCTAGTGTGGCTACCTGCCACGTCCACAGGCCCAGTGACTAGCTTGGAGCTAGTGGGCCCAGTTCCTCCCCAGTACCATGGATTTACTGACATTGTCTTTCCTGAATGTGGCCCTTTTGACACCTTTGTTGACATGGGAGGTATGGTGGACATCTGTTGTTGTCCACTTGCTATCCATCTCCCCCTTTTCCTGGGAGCAGCAGCCAGCATTTCATTTGGGGATCTGCTTCTGCCCCATTAGAGAGCCTGAGTGAGAACTTTAGTCCTGGTGTTCTACCCCTGTGGCCAAGGTGTGGGCACATGGTGGTAGGGCAAGGGTGGCATGCTGCCCACAGAAAGACTGTAGCCTCTGCTGCAGACGGGCCCTGCCTGAGCTCCTGCTGTTCTGAGCTGCTGTGCTCACGCTTTCTCATGTCTCCAGGGACTTAAAGCTGCTTGCCTTGCAGTTGCCAGAGATGTTTCTGGGCTTGTGACCAAAAGACTCTCTTTTGTTTCTCTCTGCTGAGCAGACACATGTGCACTCACTCTGCCTTGCTGCATTTTGAGACCCTGGAGAACTTTTGGGAGGAAGCTCACCAAGCAACCCCTTCTTTCCTGGCCTTCTGTGCCCACCTTGCTGGTGTCTCCTGCAATCCCATCCCTCCAACATGGCCAGTGCTTTCTGGTCTCCTAATCCTAGGACTGGAACCATGGACCTCAGTGGGGCCAGTGTTAGCCTGGTGGGGAAGGGTACAGCTGCAGGAAGTAGGGACATTGTGCATATAAACATTTTAATAGAAAGCAGCTTTGAGGGCAAAGAAGCTCAGCTTTGAATACAGACTGCTTCCAGATGTGTTTAGCATGAGCCCCTGGCTATGTGTGCAGAGTATTTTTAACTTCCTCTGGTGGGAGCTTTTTGTCTATGAAGTTTCTTTTTTCCTGAGCAAGTTGGAGAGACACAGAGACATGGGGGTATAAGGAGAGAAATGTAAAAAAGTGGCCCATTTGGTTTGTTTAGGCCAGAGGGCAGGGCAGAAATAACAGGCGAGGTGAGAAGGTGGAGGGGAAGGTCACTTTTGTTAAAGCTGCTTTTCCAGCTGTGCTGATTCTTTCAGAGGGCGTGCTGCCTTTTCTATAGAAAATCTTTATGGATTTCCACTGTTCTCATAAAGAGATCTTCTCCCTGCTCTCCTCTATTTCCCCACCCCTCACTCCCTCTGCTCAGCCACTCCCTCCTCAGTTCACCTCCCCTGGGACCTTGGGCATTCCCTTCCCCTGGGGCATCTTCCTCCAGGCCCTCCTGTAACTGACCTCCCTATCTTCCTTTAGGGCTGCAGTCATATCCTTCCTCATACTTTGGGGTTATCCCTTCCCTGACCCGCTGGATGAGGTCGCTCCCATGCCCAGTCCCTTCAACCCCACCCTCACTGTGGGGCAAAACCCAAGAGGCCATCCCCATCCCATCCCAATGTTCCTGCGCCCTCTCAAGTCCTTATCATTGTCTTATTTCTTTACTTATTATTATTTTTCTTCTTTTTGAGATGGTGTCTCACTGCGTTGCCCAGGCTGGCCTCAAACTCTTGGGCTCAAGCAATCCTCCTGCCTCTGCATCCAAAGTAGCTTGGATTACAGGCATGCAACACTATGCCCTGATTCATTTCTTGCTTTGATTCAACTTTATTTCTGCTGCTTGAGTGTGAGGGACACATTTGTCTCATTCACACATCAGGTAGTAGCTGCCAACAATAGTGTACTGAGTGCAAATTTTAGAGCATCTATCCAGCACCTTCCCAGAGGGAAGGCAGACTCACTGCTCGGTGGAGAGGGTACCAGGGACTGCTGCCCCAGCCCCTTTCTGTTTTCTGCTATAGAGAGAGGGTGCAGCAGGCTGGCTGTACACACTCCTGCCTCCTGTACACACTCCTGCCTCCTGCCTTACTGCTGGAGTTTGGTAGACATGAGGTCAAGTGAGCCGGGGCTACCGTAGGTCTGTTACTCAGGAGGCCCCGAGGCCTCCTGAGGAAGCTTTTCCCTGACACCAACCATCAGGTAAATATTTGGAAATAGCCTGTCCAGGCTTGAGGTGGTTTTCTTCCTACCCTGGCCTGTGCTAGTCCCTAGCCACCTTTGGCTCAGTGGCCCCCAACACTTGTTTGAAGTGGCTGAAATACAGACTCTGGGTGCTGGGTTGCCTTGTTTGCAGAGGGTCCTCTTTCTGCTGAGCTTGCT